ATGTTATGTTCTTGTTAAGCATGCTGAAGCAATTTTTGTGGGCTACACTTTAATGATTCACATACTAGTTTGATATGTTTATCACTGACAGAGAGCCTTTCCACTCCTAGTTGCTGTACTACACTGGTTGTTTCCAAGAATTTCTTCACCCACTCCTGGTTAATTGGTTTCGATAGTGGTTCTTTCCTGTACTGGCTTTTGTAATTATGCTGCACTACATCAATGACTTGGTCTCTGCAAGCCAAATGATGTATTGAACCTTTTCTTGCATGGTTGCCATTTTATGGGGTAACACTGCTCACTGGAGTGAAAAATAAAACATGATAATAAAAACTATTTGAATTGGGCTACAAGATATTGAAAACTACATGGTTGTATTTCTTTTATTTAATCATTAAATATTAAATTAGGAAAGATAATTTTGGACCACCCTGCATATGTATATTAAATATAGGTAGTTTTAAACTTGTTATACTCCTTACCACAGTGATCATTACATAGAGCTTCATCTCCCCTCAAATATGTAAAATGGCAATTAATTATTGTTGATGAAATTAAACTAGGAATGTGGGATGCCACAGAGGACTTTTTGTTTTGTAAATATAAGTTATTTCTTCTTTCATCTACAATAGCGTCAATAAAGAAAAGACTGTCCATATTCATTTTATTGCTTCACAAACAAGTCTCTTCAATCCTCTCATCATTATAATAGTTAGTGCCTATTGGTTGGTCAATAGGTCTTGACACTCTGAAATATGGAAATAAACTGCCACCTCAAAAGTAAGAATCAATCATTCTTAGATGTGCAAAACTGCATTCACAAAGTATAGTCTCTCTATAGCTGACAATCAGAAAAAGGGCACTGGAATGTGGAAGTATCTCTGTTCTATGCAACTGTAGAAAGGCTGTCCTCCATGCACATAGTCAAATTGGACACAATGCAATGATCCGATGAAATATTTTATAAGTTCTTTGACCAAACCTGCTACAGAAAATAACACATTGGGCTACATTTAGTACATGACCTCAACTGTATTTAGCAATTTCAAGATAATTTAAAATGTAAATAATTTACAAAATAAACTTCATCCGCAGCCTTGAAGTTTTCGTACTTTTGGTGGCACCTCTCCTTACAGGTTGCTTAAGTGGCATTCCAACATGTTGTCTTGACTTAGCAATGATTTCATTAATGCATCATTGCCAACCCTTGAGTCATAATTTTCCAGTATGGTGGCTGTCCCTAACTGTTCCTCTTATAAGGTTGGGAGCAATGGTGAAACATTTTGTTAATCTGGAGTGAAATGCATGTATGGTTGGTATGATAGTGACTGTAAGGTTAGGCAGAATAATATATTAATTACTTTTTAGTATATCATTATTATTATAAGTTACTTGTATACATTTCCTTTACACTTAAGATTAATGATATGGAATAATTAAAAGCTGAATTTACTTTATTATGAAAATGATTGTTATCATTTCCACACATACTTCATGTAAATTCATTTAGTAAATTTGGGATTATATGCAACATTCCTTCTCTGTACATATTTGGTTAATTAATTTATTAAACATTTTAAGATAGCAACATATAGTTACAAATGACTAAATTCAATAGCCAATAGGTGTTTAAAATGTTGTTCAAAATGTTTAGTTTAAATACAAAGTGATGCAGAATTGTCATACAATTGCCACTAATTTCTGTTACAGTAACCACTGTTAAAAATTTTAATTTTTTTACATTTTTAATTTTTTATTTGTTTTGTTTATCGAGGTGCATGTAGGTATATAAAATGATTTGTTTTTTGAAAAAACATTGTCAAGTATAGTTAATACAGTGTGGTGTTGACATGAAAATGCCAAAACAGAGAGAATTAACGTTTGACAGAGTCAGAATCAAATTTTTACATGATGCTGGTTGGGGTTTAAGAATATTTGCAAAATACTTTCATTGTTTCTCCAAGTACATATTAAACATACAAGAAAACACTGTCCTATAATATAAGACAATGCAGGGGATGGAGAAAAAAACTCACTGAAAGAGATATTAAATAAAAGAATCAATTCCTTGAAAAACTGAAGGAAAACTGCAAAACACCTTGCTAATGATAATAACAAATCACACACAGATAATATTTCAAGAATGTTGCACAAATGTAGCCTTTTTGAAAAGTAACACCAAGAAAACCCTTACTGAAACACATTTTCAAGAAATGTCAACATATTCGACCCAGAAAAATCAGGAGATCTCCAGCCAATGGAATTGATACTACTAAGTCCAAACCTTAACTCTATATAACAAATCTGGGAATTCCTTTGATTACATGCTTGACAAAAGTAGAAACTGTACTAAAGAAAGCCTATGGATAAAGCTTCAAAAAACAAACAAACTTGAATCATAAAATAATTACTAATCAATCAATTAATAGACAAATAATAAAAAATGTTTTGAAAAAATAAGGATGATGTAGGGAATGCAATGCAAAATCATACAAAAATTACTACATAAGTAGCCAAACTTTTCCAAGAGAAACATTTATCTACAATTAAATATTAAATTCATTTTTGTTTTGCATGAATTCAGGTTTTAATAAAAGCAGTTAAGCTGAATAATGCTATAATGTCTTCCAGTGGCTAATTCCCATAAGCTTGTAACATTGATTCAGTGGCTACTTATATAGGGATTTTTGTATGGTTTTTGTGTATTCATCCCTACCTTGTTTCTGTACTTTTTAGCATTTCATTCCCTACATCATCCTTATTTTTCCAAAAAATGTTTTTTATTACTTGTTTCCCCTCTTATTTCAAACAATTAATATTAATGAATGGCAGTCGCTATAAAGGCAGCAGTTTTGGCCTGATGTGATGAGTTGTCTTGATGGACATCGTATGTAGAAGTTAGTAAAACACTATACTGCTTCTGCGTTTCCTAATAGATTTGAGACTATGATGGGCAATACATAATATGTGGTGGCCATTTTTTTCCCTACCCATCCCTACGTACTAAGCACTGCCATGCTTAGTAATACAAGTAGATTTGAAATCTAAGAAACAAAAATTATTTTATTTCAAATTTACTTTAAAAATTTACATTCTATTATTTACCATTAAAGAAAGTAATTTTGATTAAATTTCAAACTTCTTGCATTTTCATCTAGAAAACAGAAGTGATATCTAAATCTGTATCAGAACTTCATAAAATAAATCAATAATGTTCTTATTTTAGGATTTCATGATACTCTATGATGGTATTTAGAAAAGTAATTAAAATATTATCAATAACAAAAAAATTACTTAAAAAACAAGCTTGATTAGAATAATCTTACTAAAATTGTTTTGCACAATTAAAAAACAAATTATAAAAAATACAATACTGAGAAAGTAAAATTTTGTAAAGCCATTTTCCCAACCTTATGTAAATTATACCTTAAAATAAGTAAAAATTACAATATTTTGCAACAGTGTCCAAAAAATTCATAAATCTGAAACTCTATAAAAGGATTTATAATACAGAAAAATAAAACTATGAAAGATTAAACAGCTTCTGCTAGAAAAAGGTTCCTCCTTAAACTTGTTTTACACAAGATATACACACATGCTAAACATAGCCAGTTTTATAGTTATATTTGGACAGTAGTATCATTACAGAAATTCAATCATTCTTATGTTAAATTGTTAATGCGTTTTGAAAACTTCTCTTATTATAGATTAAAATGCTATGTGACTGCTATTATAAACTGGTGAATAAGCAGTTAAAATATAAGTACCTCTGAAATAACTTCACAATTGTTAAATGAATTTAGCTATTGTCATGGAACAATGAACAGAATCTGTACAACTGTTTAAAGTTTTACACATACAGGGCATTCACACTTAACAGAAATGAAAATTTTGTACCAGTCATTTTCTATTGCTGCAGGACACAAAATTCAAAACACAACAATGTTATTCAGTTACAATATTTATGCCAATGTTAACTCTATGTAAAAGCTAATTTTTTGATATGATATAAAAACATTTATAAAAACTAACTGGTTTGCCCCCTTTTTTTTAAGTACTGGCTGTGTGATATTTCATTGTGTTGAAAAACATTCTTAAAAATATCTAAAGATACTGACAACCAAAATCGATATGTACTCTTGTAACATGGGAAAAGGTAAGACAATCATGTTACTCTCTGCATTGACAAGTATGTTTATAACAGAGTAAACCAATATGATATATGAACAGACAAAAAGTGAGAAAAGTACTAGTACCATACATGAACCATCACTATAAAGGAATGCTAAACATTAATATTATATATGAACCAATAGTTTAATTTTGTGTTCCAAATTAAAATAATGATAATACTTACTTCAAGACATGACTGACAGAACTTGGTAATAATGAGTTTAAAATGATAAGCATAAAATTCATATCACTGATTTTATAACAGCATTAAAAACTTCAAAAACAAAACAAAAACAATTGAAACACTTCCATGCGGGAAAAAAATTTTACTGGGAATCTATAACAAAAACCATACAACTACCAGTGCTTTCATATATATATATATATATAAACACACACACTAGTACTGCCAAAAAAGTATTAGACATTTTCTAAATGACATGACAATTATTATATGATGATTGTCACCTTCTCATCAGATTAAGTGACATTTTGGTTTAGATATTAAATACTTACACAGAAAAAAATGGTTGAGAAAAAAATAGTAAAAGTAAATTGACATATTTTTGTATTTAGTTTTATTTGCAATAACTCTCAAAAATAGTTGTATTTCAATATAAATGAATTTCATATTTATCAATCTGTTGTCATACAAAGTATTTTAGTGTGTTTTTTTTCAAACCAAAATTAACCACAATTTTTTGTTAGGGAAGATTGGCAGCAAATATATATATGTGTGTATGCAAACCTAGTATGTTTTCTAGCTAACTCTTGTGAAGATTTTGAATCTAACTAGAATATGTTTTAATTATATAGAACTTAAAAAGTGACCTTTCAAATCATGTAACCAGTAGAGGAAATTAATAAAAGAAAGAAAAAAGTGATATTCCAGTATTTTCTTATTCATAACCACAGGATAATCTTATTGATGTTTTTGATTATATATGTATTTTTTTATTTGTCTTCCAAGCTGCTAATGTGTTACGTTAATTCCCCCAAAATTCTTTCTTGGTGCTTAAAGAATTCTACTGTAAAATCCCTCCACTGCAACTCCAAGATAAAGATAGTTTTCTAACCCAAAATCTAGCTTTAGTAACTTGTACTTAAGAATCTAGCAAATAGTCTTTCCAAATCAGTAAGGTTTCTAAATAGTAGTTCTGCATGTTTAAAATAAGAATATTAACAAAGCTGAGTAACATACTACAACCATAAAACTTTATCTAGTACGAGGTATGTTATGTAGACACACTCTACAGCGAGAGATACGTGTTTGAAGCTTATCAGCCTTCAATGTCTGTTGTTTAGGGGCATTGAATTCACTGGAATGGTCAAATGAAGCAAGCCAGAAACTATAGGCTGTAGAGTACACATTACAGCGACCATGACCTTGGCATTCTATGAAAGGATTTGACCTAAAATACTCTAAGCAAGAACCTGGTGACCACAATGGCTGACCACTTCCTTCTGCTCCAGCATCTGTATTCTTTAGAACAAAATAGATACAAAACAATTATGTAAATTATATTCCCTTAAGAAAAAGGACACATGTAATAAACTTCAAATCTGTAAATGCATTACTGTGTGTGGAAATAAGCTTTTCATCTATTTTCATTATAAGATAAACACTTTAAAACTTGAATAATAATATTAATAAAAACATAAAACTTTGAAAAACCTATACTATTACCTAATTTCAAAAAATATAAAGAAATATTAACTCATGAAAACCAATGTTAACAACTGAAAAGTTGCTAAACAAATATTTCTTTAGCCCTTCCATACATAGGTAAACAGATAGTTTTTATTAAAAACTATTTATGCAAGTTATGTCACTGTAGATACTCTCGAGTTGAATTGAGATGTACTTTTAAGCCTATATTTGCAAATTACAGTATTCTTCAGGTATAAGGATTGATACATAATTTTTTTAACTTCTAATGCAGTAAAGGAATATAAATGTCCTAAATGTATTTTAGAATATAACACAAGGTGATTAACAGTTCACAAATAGTAACAAGCAAATTTGAGATGCACGTCACTTTCAAGTATCAAGAAATATGCATTGAATCAATGTGATAAACCTATAAAGGACAATTTAAAACCCTTGCAGGGCAAACATGGAAAAAGATCTGCATATCAAGAAATGTCTATTGATCATAGTCTTAAGTTAGAATTAAATGAGCAGAAAAGTGCAGTTCATTTATTATTAACATGTTCCAGTCAATTGTGATGTCACTCAATAACATATAATGAGAAGGTAGAAATGATGCTGTTCTGGAATTCTGATACCAGCTGATACCAGGTTTACAATGCTTTATTCCCTACTGCAGAAGTCAATATCTTCAAACCAGCCAATAGAATAAAGTCATATTCTAAGATGAAAGCAATTGCTGCCAAGACACGAAGTTTAAAATTTGTGGGTAGTCTTGTGATATAGCATGACTTGCTGTATGAAGTCAACTTTTTAGCAAGTAATTGCAAGAAGGATTTTGACTCATTCTGAGCCATTTCGCAGCCGCAAAAGATTTATTTCCTTTCAACAGTTAAAGAAAGATGAAACCTTTCCAAAGGCACTGATGGATGCAAAGAGCTTGCAGAAAATTTTGTAAGAACAGCAGAATTTCTCATCAAAAATGAAAACATAGTTTTCCCATAAAAGTTATAATGAACTTATCCTTAATCCACAGCAAAACTTAGAGTCAAATTCTCTTATCCTTATAAAAGCATATATTTTTAATATTTTGGAGATATGCAAAGATTCTTGTAGGGGATATGTTTTACCATTTTGTTTTTGTTGTTGTTGAAATCTATACTCATAGATATCATTCAGGCTTATTGCTAGCTATTTTTTGCCACTCCAAGCTCGTTTTTAATCTATCCCCCTATCGTTTGTTAAATAATAAGTAGTACTAAAAAAAATGTTACAATTAAGGAAATGTATCATTCCTTGCTTTCATTAAGTCCGATGTTTGGGTATTTTTGAAAATTGATTTAAATTGTTGCCAGTCCAACCAATTTTGTTTGTATTATAATTAACCATACATTTTATAATCTGTTTGAGGTTGGAAAAGCTTTTTTCCTCCACTAGAAATAATGATTGGGAAAGTCAAGAGAGTTATACAAATGACAGAAGTGTCAAAAAACTACTTTGCTCATCTTTTTTTTATATTTCAGTACATCTTTTGAAAGTCATTTTAATGATTCTGCATGAGGATTCTTGCAGTTCGTCACATAATTTTATTGTAGAGACATCAGTTGCCTCATTATTTGGTAAGCCGATCTGAAAATCCATGGAGTGCTTAAACACGTCCCTGAAACTTATTTTTGATACATAGCAATGCAATATATTCTATTGAATCATTTGCTGTGGTAGCAGTTTTTTTTAACTTAATGATGAAAATATTTACCATAAGAAAACTATAGCCAATCCATAAACTTTCCCAATTCCTAGGACAATCTGGCACAATAGTAGACTGGCTGTGTACAGCAATTACCTGAAATTATTAATTGAGTTATTATAGTAAAAATGTAAGAGAGAAATAAAAGTGTCTTACAAACAATTTCATAAAATAATGATAAAGTATGATTTAACATTTTGTAATCATTAACACAATATATTTTAGAAAGTACCTCATACAAATGGTAAAAAGTTTTGTTTGAAAACAGAAATGAAAAATATTAAGTACATGAATAATACTGTATTAAAGTGCTGTCAAATTAATGTTCCTCTGCATATAATTGAGCAGAATTAATCAATTTTTTGTTCATAAAATAAACTTAATATTAGAAAATAAATTCTATTTCTTTGGCCATAATGAGTTTCTAAGTGATGAAAAATTATTTGCTAAAATTTTCATTGTTACATTATTTATAGATCTGAAAAAATACCCCAGAGGAGATATTAGGTAAATTAGCCTCACCATTCAGAAAGAAAACTTATCTAAGATGGATTGCACCTTCAAAAGGAACATGGACCTCCAAATTTGCCACCATTCACAAACAAAACAAACTGGAAAGGGTGTTTCACTTTTTAAAAATAAAACTAACCATGTAGTGATGTGTTGGATATACAAGACTGTTTAATGTAAGAGTTATTCTTTAGTTCCTTTAGTGATTTAATATTTAATGATTATTTAGTTTTCATAACAAGAGTGTTAAAAGTAATTATTTTAAAGACAATAATTATGACAAATTTTGTTACTCGGTAAGAGTTGTACGTTTTGTGTGTGTAATTCAACTTTTGTAATTTGACGTCATTACTCAAACCTTCTGTATTTTTCTTGTTGCTTTAAGTGAGTATTGTTACATAATAGCATATTGTAATGTGTAGAAAGTTCTAGCCTCAGTTGGGCAATGTATATACATAGGCAACCAAGTGAGTGCAAGTAAATCTAAGTCAGAAAATGTTAAGTTAGTGAAAGTGAAGTTAGACTGTATGACTGTTAGTTTAGCAGCAACAGGCAATATTTATAGTGAGTTTCACAGTGTTATTGTAATAACAGAGATAGAGGAGAATAATTTGTTTTGTCAAAGGGTGTTCTAAAGTAACTGAACCCATCTGTGTGGACTCTGATGAAAACAAGACAATTATTTGAAGTTCTGGATACAACTGTGGTAACCCACGGGGTAATATAAGTGACTTGATTGCAGATTGTATAGTAAGAAACAGAGTATAGAAAAATAATCCATCTTCTCAATTGGGTTCTAAAGTAACTGAACTAGTCTGTGTAGACTTTTGACAAGAAAAGATAATTTTAGATACAACTGTGATATCCTATAGTGTAAAGAAATTTTTTACATACGTTTTATTACATATTATTTTAAAACAAGTGGATTGCGTGCTGTCCGTTTATTGTTTGAATTTATCATCAATAAGTCACAGACACCTACTGTAAAATAATCCCACCCCATTTGATAAACCTGACATGATTACAATGAAAAACACGTAGCTTCAAAGAGTTCTAACTTCTTTCAAATAAATCTAACCAGTTATAAGAGCTCACTTTTGACTAAACAAGATAACAGGTGGTATTACTTTTAAAAAATTCAATTGATCTGCTATAAAAGCTCATTATTGAAAATTGATTTTGTTTAGTTGGGAAAGACCTTTCTTTTGAAAAATATTAGCTGTATCACATATTGGTATTCCTAAAAGAAACCTAGTTTGGGACAGATTTATCACTTCTCAAAGATTAAACTGTCATGTGATAAGTGTTAATTCTTGACTAAAAACACAAACCTGAGAAGGACTTTCACAAACGACACAGCGACTGATATAACGTTCTATATCTCTCCCAACTATTGGGGACATGGACATGAGCATGGGTTCTGGTGTGCTTAGCCAGTAACTGTAGTCACTTCTAGATGCCAAATGGCACACATTGTTCAGGTTGCAAAACATATAAGGCATGGTTGAAAAATACTTCAGACAGCTCCCAGGACCACCTGACGAGAAGTTAAACACTTAAATGCACAAAGGGCACTTTGAAGCCTAATTCATGTTTCTAATAAACAAATGAATTCAGAAAAGACATTAAAAAAACAAATACAAATCTGACAAAAGAACAAAACATTTCTTTTCTATTTTTAAGTACTTAAAAAAATAAAATAAATTCAACAATATTTTTTGTCTGTGACCCTATTTGTATACTATTAAGATTAATACCTATTAATAAGGAACAATGAAACTATCTAAAAAGGTGAGACTTTTGCAAATTAGTTTTCAATTTTTTATGATTGACATTATTATTGTTTAGTTGTTTGTGAATTTAAAAAAGAAACCATCAGTTCTGACTTCAAATTTGAAATATTTTCCTATGATAACCCAAAATTGCTTTGTGAATAATTTAAAATTTAATACCGATATAAGCTGGTTTTCAAAGTATGCACAGAATAATGGATTTCCAGGTATGTATACATCACTTAATAAAGCTAAGGTGAGAGAATTATAATATATACTTATTTATATACATTATCATTTTGTAATTCTCCATTTAATTAGTCAATTCATTCGCAAATTGAAAGCTTCTGGGACCTGACAGGTCAACAATTGAATGTTGTGGTTGTGGGCCCAAAAGAGAAAATCCAGAGTCAAAAAGCAGAAGTCCTAAGAGCAAGCATGTCTCCCTATCAGTTGATTTAAGAAACTAAAGCAGAGTTGTATGAATGGATCATAACAAGACAATCAGACAGATGAAACTGAAGATGACAGCAAGTTTGACACAAGCAATTAATACTTCAAAGACGTTGACAGGAAAATACCACTCCTCTGAAGAGGGTAAGGATGCACAGAACTGACCCTAACCCAGAGAACAAAAACACTGGCAAACAGGTGTAAGCCCAACAAGGTGTGTGTGGTGGGGGGGGTAGGGATGTCCACTGTTTTGTAGGACTGATCATGCCAAGAAAGCTGACCACATTCTGCAAATGAGTTGAAAGAAAAAACTGGTGAATCAGATATTGTATGGGTTCAAGAAAGACTTAAAGAACTTGACAAATCAACTGAAACCAGATGGTTACAGAAGGAGAAAGGCGGTTGCAGCTGAAAATGCTTTTTGGAGTGGTGCAAGAAGAAGCCAGTAACCTATATAATAGTGGAAATGTAGAACCAACAAATTCATCCTCCAGGAGAAAGCTCACAGGACCCAAATGGCAACAATTTGGGTAATTGCTAACCCAAAGGAAGGGCCTGGCACTGAAAAATCTGACTGTCATTGGATGAACCAGGGGGAGTAACAGACAGATGGAAAATTAGAATGTGGAGAAAAGCATCTGAAATACATTAACCTTGGTAATCCAAGGCTCAGGAGAGAATATCCACCTAAGTTGAAGAAAGTTAATATTTTCCTTATTAAAATATACTTCTGAAAGATAGCTCACAGGATAGATTTTTTTGCTTTCAGTGCTGCCCCTCTATATATAAAAATTTTTTCACTTGCCACCAGCCTTAAAACTCCCACCTACTTCATGTAGCATAGTTCTGCTGTTTCTTTGCATGCAAATAAGCATGCAGCAACCCTCTCTGTGACACACTCTTCTGATGCAGTTACTACCTCTACACAGGTCAACTTAATCCTCATTTTGAAGTTAGGCACAAAAGAAGCACCAAAAGTGGGGAGGAAGTGTGAAAGGAAGTATCTATCAGAAATATATTTTTTAGTGTAGGAAAATATTAACTTCTGATACAATATCTTACCTCCACTCACAAAAGCAGGTACAATCTCACACTGACGTGGTGGAGGGATCAGCACAAAAGTTACCTAGATAGGCACCCTTTTGGAAAGTGTCCAAGAAAAGCCCATGCAGTGGGACTTCTCTTGTGAGAGGAACACACCCATGGGAGACTGCACCACACTGATACCAGGTATACTCTTCTCCTATTATGGTAGTAAGTGTTGCTTAATTGGGTGGAAAAAACTTAGGTCCAGCTGTACACCAAATCATACTCCCGGGAACCGACATCCAGGAGATGATTAAAAATATTGGCTGGTCCAGTGTTTTGACTAAGACTAGCTTTCCTGGGAACTAGCCAGTAGGAGAAAGCAGAATGGATTACTTGGCTGAAAAGTGTGGTTAATATATACATGGATGTGCCCACTGGTGTAGAATGGCTAGGGTGCATAAGACCACGCTTGGTAGGTCAACTCCAGTCCAAAACCAAGTGCCATTGGGTATTTACCTCCTGGTCTGTGGTAGGAGAAAGGTCTCTACTGTCTTCATTTCAAAATGAGGATACAGAAGGGAAAAATATTCCATTCCACTTGCCTAGACAGGGCACATGTGCAAATGCAAAATCAACACCAGCCACCCAGGAAAACTACATCTGAGTGACATTAGGAAGGGAAGTGCCAGTATGGTGGTTCATTCAAATTCAATAACTAAACAGACATCTGGTTCCTGGTCTAACTCCTTACCACACCAGATCTCAGAAATCTCAACTTGCATATGATATGCCAAAGGTTCCCCAACCAAATTAACTATCAGCCATCCAGCTCATGGCTACACCAAACTCCTGAGCCACAACCTTCTGGAGAAGGTATGTTGAGGGTTCCCCAACTGAATAGTACGGTAGTATGTCTGTGGTACGATTAGGGTTCCCTACCAACACATGTGTGAGGACTTATATTAGAAGATATAGCTTTAATCCAATACCAGCTTGCCCAGGAACCAACATCCAGGCGATGGTAGGATGAGGAGTCATAGCCTGAGGGGTGAACTGCATATTGGTGGATTTATTCTAATTCATGATTCAATGAGAGAATCTACATCATCTACACTGGCAGAACATCACTGTCCAACTCTACTGAATGGAACTGAGCACAATCAGGAAGAAGCCTCTATGGTCCATCACCCCAGTGGCTAGGTAAGTGGTAACAATTTCCATACTCCACTTGTAGAGAGGGGGGAATGTGGTAGGGAGTCCAGAGGAATGCTACACTGGAAACTATGCAATTGGAAAAAAGAAAGAAAATAAAAAGTAAACTTACCTTCTCACAATTGAACTGATGTGTGTAGTATGGCAACAGGTGGAATACAATATCCAGATGAAGAAGAAATTGCCACATGAAGTAAGTAATGGGAGATGAACATGTTGGGTGTAATCCACATGCCAGCCTCAATGATTTTTTTTTTAAGGGATGATGTAGATGAGTTGCCGAGGAAAAAATGAGATGGTAAATCTGGTGACATTATACCTAGAAAACATCTTGAATTGGGAGATAAGATTGAGTAAGCCAACCAAATTAGTCGGCAAGTCCAACCTGTAAGGGTAGTGGGTGAAATATGTTGTTGAGGACATAGATTCCAGGGAATGAATAAATGAGAATGGGAACCATGGAAGGAATTCATGCAGGTGATATAACTTCTGAGAGCACGTACAGGACATAGAAGTCTATCTGGATCTGAATGAGAAAATAAATGGGAAATGGAGGAAGATTGGTGTAAAGGAGTTGTTGCCTTTATGAGCCACCGATATCTTGGGGATAATCTGGATACAGGAGATCATAGGTATGGTGGTAAAAATACATGATAGGCGATGGTAAATATATCTGACCTCTGACGACCACAGGCTAATAAGATTAAGAGATAGGTTTTGAGGGATAAGTGGTACAAGGAACAGGTGGCCTCGTGTTCAAAAGGTGTTTGGGTAAGGGTGTGGAGAACAACATCAAGCTACCAATTCTGAAGGATGGCAAAATGAGGGGGATGAAGGATTTGAAAGGAATGCAACAAAAGGGAAATGGTAAGAAAGAAAAAATGGATGATATTAAATAAGTCTGCTTGATACCCACCAATGGTAGACATCAAAGAATCATTGTCAAACAGTCAAGTCAAATTTGGAGACATGAAGAATACTTGGATGAGAAGGAAGGTAGTCATGATGCAGAGATAAACAGTGAAATTTATGCCCTTGTTTCTGTTATACCGTAAGAGAAGAATGATGTATGGAAAGTGAAAAGAGGTAGTTACATGTGTGAATAGTCTGTACTGCCTCTCAAGGGACTGGTCAAAAGCCACATGTGAAGTCAGACTGTGGCATAACATACTAACAACTGAAGTTGACAAAAGTGGGATTGGAGAAGAGGAGTGATAAATGAGGTGCTGACTGGAGGAGGGTTAGGACTGGAAACCCAGTGTGTGCCAGCCAAAAGGTTCTAGTAGATGGACATGACATGGAGTGGACTGGATGATAGATAGAAACCTGGGAAGGAGACGGATAGGAGGTAAGGCATACAGATAAATGTTGGATATATTCTGACTGAAGGCATCTAATGCTAAAGGCAAACGATGAAGGACTGGAACCAAAAGATGAATAATTTGGTATTGAACTGGGTGGCAAATGAGTCTAGAGGTGTAGTAAACCACTGGTCGTATAATCACCAAAATTTGTGAATTGAGGACTACTTTATGAGAAAGATCTTGTCAGGATAAGATAATTGATCTGCAATGAGATTCAATGCACCAAGGATATGACATGCAACTAAGCGTATACGATATGAATGGGCCTCGAACAGGAGTTATAATATTTGGAAAACACACTGAATGTGAACAAATGCCACCTTGTCGACTAATGTTTGAGATAACAGTCAATTTGTTACACTGGATCATGACCAATTTGCCTCATACTAAAGTAGGAAGCGATCCAAAGCCTGACAGATGGCACAAAGCTCTTAAGATGTTTATGTGTATCACCATCTTAATGAAAGACCAATGATCCGAAAATTTCCATATAATCCATACATGCTCCCAAACCCACAAAAGAAGTATCTGTACACAGATGCAGGTTGGGCCATGGAGGTGGAACAGACATGCCAACCATTTTGTTTTCTCTGCTAATCTACCTAGAAAAACGATTTGAAGTGAGGGGAAGAAATCGATACAGAAGTCCAGGGGATTATAAGCAAGGTTCCAGTGATCATACAGTACTCACTGAAGGGTATGAATGGAGCATGACCCATGGGTAGAAAGGCTTCTGTAGAAGCCCATATCTCCCAAAAAGGATAGAACCTCGCTTGTAGACAGAGTATAAAATGATAAGGCTTGGATAACTATGTATTCTATCAAATGTTAACAAAGAAGAGAAACTGGGCTCAACTAAGGAAGGAGTTGAAAAATGCTCCTAGTCAGAAGAGGTATTGTGTGTTTAGATAAGAAAGGAATGTTCAAACAAGATGAGCCACCCCACACGATTTGCTTCCAAAAGAAGCAACCAAGTGTGTCTGTGAGGTGGTTGTCAGGATGGCGTTCTTGTAAAAATGAATCATAGACCTGGTGTAAATGTCCTTAAAAATGTGAAGGACTCCATGCGAAAAAAAAAAAAAAGGTAAGTCAATACAAATGTTGAGATAAAACAGATTTATAATAGGATGCCAGTTCTCAGCCTTGTAGAGAAGTACAAAGGACATTGGAATAAAATCTTGTAGAAATATGATTGACAGGTTCTATAGCATCCTTGATAAGAAATTTTAAACTGCCTCAGATAGATGCTGGCCAGAAATACGATTCCAAAGAGGCAGGAGGATACAGTAAATGGAGTTAAAGGAAGTGGGTGAGTATTGGAAGGCATAAATCCTTTCACCTCACCTCCAAATATCCTGGGATCTGAGGTGAAAGTGTACTGCAGGAGCATATCAAGTCAAAGAGTTCCCACTCTGCTAGAAACCACAAAATAGTTACCCATACCTTTGGCAGTGTGGGATTAAGTAATAAGTGAGAAACCCCAAACACAAAGGAGGAGTGCTGTTGAGCAGTCACCACCCTTGAATGTAATAATGTGGTAAGATCTCCAAAATTAACCTTCGTAAAAATGGTGCCATCCATAGGTCACCTAAATAGGATGTGGGTAGGTTAACAATGCATCCTAACCCAGGATTCAAATAACAGAGTAGCCATGTTAGAAGTGAAAAAAAGTCGAGAAGAATAAGCATGCCAAACTGGAAAAATATAAGGGAACCAGTGCCCACCAAAACTCTGTTGGGGAGCTGTGGATAACTGCAGACAGGAGAGAACTGGAGGAAAAGTAAATGAGAAGTGTGGAAAGGGTTCAACAGATGGGGGGGGGGCAATTGGATGTGGGAAAAAAACTCACAGAATTATCAGGGTCAGACCTAATTTATGTAGGAATGACTAACTGTTGGGAATTTATATATGAAAAATCTACATGAAGATATGAAAAAGTATAATTATCATGTAATTGTGCCACAGCATGAACCCCTAATATCTAGAGAAGAAAAGAAGACTATATATTCTGGGAAAAAGACCAATGTAGGAGGGAAGAAAAGGAATAATATGAAACAGGAGATACAAGTAAATGGGAACAAACCTGTAACACCATATCCAAGAAGACTGAGGATATGGGGAAAATTGAGATTGCACGGTCAAGAAAGGAAATAAAAATAAAATTATTCAAATTGCCTTAATCTTGTCCAAATCAACCAGAGAAAGAAATGTCAGATCTGAGTTTGGAAGAAAATAGCTGGCTGCATGATCGACTCTTAACTTCTATTGAAAAACCACAACCTCTTTAGCCAATAAAACAGGGCCTGTATCCTGAGACACATCAGGTTAAGGTTCTGTAAGATTTGTTACTACAGAATTAGTGACAGTGGTATGAAATTCAGAAATCATGTTCAACTGGAGTGAAGTTAAAAAATAATAAACTACATTTAGTTTATAACTGTAGAAATAAAGAAAAAAAACAACTAAGTTGTTTAATTAAGAAACAAAACAAAAACTAATCTTAACACTATTGTGCAAAATCGAGAAGTGAGGATTAGATTGGTCTGTGTAGAGAGAGTAACTGTCAGAAGAGTGTGTCATGCTCCTATTGGTAGAGGGTTGCTGGATGTTTATTTGCATGTGAAGACATAGCAGAACCACGTTACACATGGAATAGGTGGGAGTTTCATGGGTACTGGTGAGTGAAAAACTTGCATATATGAAAGGCAGCCCTGAACAAGAAAAGCTTTTTTTGTGAGTAGATGTAAGATATCATATTGGAAAACACCCATCTTGAACTGAGGGATAATAAAAAATGAATTCATGGATGAGAAATTTATGACAGGTGGACAATCTCTCATCTTTATGGAAATGGCAAAAATATGGGAGTAAAGCCTGACATGTGGCCTGTTATGGAAAGAAGAAACAGTTTCCTTGAGATGGAAAAGGTGTAAGTAATCTGAGAGGTTGGAAAGACAACCAGAGAAGGAAGAGGAGAGGGAAAGTACATAGGAGAGGATCTGTGTGACCCAAAGACCTGCTGAAAAGGGAGTCCACAGATGTGCAAAGAGGTGCAGCTCCAAAAATGATTAGAAAACGTCATCCTTTGGAGAGGATCAGAAAAAAGAAACAGAGAACCCAAGATAAATGGGACACTGCAGATGAAGAGATGGAAACAAAATCTACAAATAGGTAGGTGCTAGTGTCCCCATTCACTCTGTCAGAGTCTTGACACAGATCCTTCAAGAGAAGACAGAGTGGATAAAACACTGAAAGTTGATAATAAAAGAAATTGAGTATAAAATACGAATAACTGGATGATAAGGTTTAGTTGAAAATTAACGTGACAAATGCAATGCAAAAATCTTTAATATCAAATACAATGAAGCAAATTTAATATGTCTGAAGACAAGCAATGCAAATCAAAAATGAGCATTTGTTCCAACACTATCATTCATGGGGATTACTGCACATGGAGGACATGTCACCCTCTTAATGGTGGAGGGCTATAGTATAATGATGATTCTATCATAGGCTGGTGCAGTACATGTAGGAATAAGAGTTTTGTTCATAAATTGTGGTGTAGGCAAAAATCTTCTCGACAGTTGCATGTGGTAGTATCTCTTTGTCGTACAGAGTGGTGAGTATGTTTTTTTCAAACTAAGCTTTTTAAAGATACATATGTTACTAAAAAAGCACTTGCTTTTTATCAATGTTGATCATCATGCTCCTTTAAAGTATGGTAGCAGCCTTTATGTTAGTGTAAGTTTTCCACAATAAACCTACCAAAATAATGTTAACAAGAAGGTTTGTTTGTTTGTACTTAAGCACAAAGCTACACAATGGGCTATCTGTGCTCTGCTCCCCATGGGGATCGAAACCTGGATTCTAGAGTTATAATTCTGCAGACATACCGCTGTGCCACTGGGGGGCTACCAAGAAGGAGACCAGATGTTGTTAAACATCCTCCCAGTCAGAATGCAAGTTAGTATCAAATAAAAGCCCTTTTCAGGCCCACATCCATATGAAGAAGATGATAATGCACCTTAACTCATCCTAAACAGACAACTCTGTTACTTAAGCACTATAATAAATAAGGAGGAATTGTTTCAAGTGTAGGCAATCAAAATAACAATAATTAACCATTTGAACAAAATCTATTTCAAAACAGTAAGTATTCATTTTCAAATATAACTAAAATTAAGTTGTTTTTTGAAAGAAAATTGCAACTGGAAAACAAATCTATTTCAAAAAATATTCTCTGACAATACAAGAATTAAAAAAAAATTATTCAAAATCCTAAACTGTTCTTAGCTACAAAAATTATATTTTTCAATAGTTTCTAAGAATCTAAAAATATTTACTCACCAAGATCCTGTCCATGTGATCGTTCATTACCTAAAATATACAGTAGGGAGTAGCCCTTCCACAATAGGGATGTTCCTCTCGGACAGCTAGGCAACTCCATTGTCTGACTATGTCGGGTGAAGAAATGACCAAAAGACAAAATATTTAAACTACCAGGTGGCCCTATATCACCTGGGAGTCCTCTCTGCCCTGGTACTCCTTGTGGCCCTGCAAAACAAGTAAAACTAGTGCAGTACGCTTTCAGAAAATATTTCACTGAATCATACTACATGCATATTTATGTTAAATAATGAAGCTATAGCATGTGTAAAAAGTAGTTAAATCAGGAAAGAAAAAAGAAAACAATATTTTTTACACTTGTTTATTTATTTTTTACTAAGAAATTTAAATGCAACACTTCTTTTATTCAGGTTTATTACCTTATCTAGAATTAGCTTTTTGTTTTTTATCTGCATTTTTCATATTGTATTTTTGGTACTAGGATTATAAATTTTGTATGACAAGGCTTTTATTTAAAGTTTAAAGATAAAAACTCTTATTCTACTCTTTTATTGATACTACAAAGATTTTTCTGAACTTCAAAATACTATGATCCTTTTTCCAAACTTTTCTATGGAAAATATTCGATAATGAGAACAATATACAGCTGAGGTTGAATGTCATGTATGAAAACTACATTTTGGTATTTCATAACTAGTGTGATGTCTACAAAAACTAACTGCTTTTGGGAAGGGTATGTAATAGCTTTTATTGACACAAAATGTTCATACACTTAGATCATAAACTACAAAGATGTGTTAAAATCAGGAATTTAGAATTTCCAAGACAAGGTTATCCCTTGTACTTAATGGCCCTGGACAACGAAAGAATATGGAATGACTTGAGGCACCAAGACTATCCAGAAAGAGATCTGCAACAAGCTGTACTCTAGCTTTGGTATGCATGGTATGGAATCTGTAAAAGGTGAGAATCCATGAATACAAAGGTCTGTGGAAAAGTGATTTTGTTTGTTTGTTTCAAATTAAGCACAAAGCTGCACAATGGACTATCTGAGTTCTGCCCACCACATGTATCGAAACCCAGTTTTTAGCAATGTAAGTCCACAGACATATCGCTGTGTCACTGGGGAGCAGAAAAGTGATATAAGTCACATGTAGACAAGTTGCTTCCAAGATATATCTGTTCAATCCATAACTTACCACAAGCAGCTGGAAAATAAAACAAGTATTAATGCAATTCCATACAAAGACATACTGTCAAGTCATCATCATTCTCATACACTAGGTGGATTAAAGAAAGCCTGCATGGAGGAATTGTATACTTTAGACATGACAGCCTTACAAAAATACCTCTTTTGCAATGGAAACCACAATGCCAGCCTATTGTGAAGATGCACAGTCATCAGATAAAGATTGTTCTCAACATGGTCATATACATTGTAACAACACAGTGAGGCTACAAAATCATTTTTCATATAACACCCTCAATATCTGTATACAGAAGAATAACCAGGATCTGAAGGTGTAAGGGAACAGGGCCTGATTTAGCTGTGGTTAATTTCAAAATAATTTCATGTGACTTGCTATCATTCTTTAAACAATTATTGTTCAGAGTAAAATTACTTGATTAAATAAGAATTATTTGTGAATTTAATATAACAATTAATTTCAGTTTTGTGGGAGGCACCCCCAATGTTAAACCAGCACAGGGAGGGAATAAGAAAAAGGTGGTTGCAACTTCATTAAACTAACTGTAAAGACTAATTTTTACTTTTTTGTTTTCATTTGAACAGTGGAAGGAAAGTACTGTATATCTCTGGAATTTCATTTACCTGAATCAAACTGAAGAGTATCAAGTTAATAAAACTGTAAATATTTCATGCAAAAATATGTCATAAACATCTTGTTTAAGATTAATAAGAATCATTCTATTTCAGATATATACACCAAATTAAAAATTTAAAAGAAATGTGTTTTTTGTTCATAAAAAATGTATCTATACAAGTTATAAGTATTTAAACGTCAGAATCTGCTTTTGTTTTTAACAATCTCAGAAAGCAATTAATTACTATTATGAAAATGGTATGTAAAGTCTGATGTCCCACTTATTTATTTTGTTTTATTGTTATTGACCCATCTATTTGGTAACTTAACTGAATTTTTACCATTCACAAAATCTTATACCGATTAATGTTAAACTTATGTTAATGTACATATATATATATATATATTTTTTTTTTAACTAAGAAATTTAAGTGCACCACTTCTCATTTAGATTTATTACCTTATCTAGAATTAGCTCTTTGTTTTTTTATCTGCATTATTCATATTGTTTTTTTGTTAGTAGACATAAATTTTGTATTAATTAATTATTATTATTATTACTAAATATTAATATCTGAAGTAAACTGCCCAAAGCAGTTAGAGAATATTCTGAATTTAAAATGTTATAACTTAGGTAACACAATACTAATGTTATAAAATACTGTCAATCTGTTCATTTTATGTAAATGAAGCACCTGATGATCAGTCATGAAATATGAAGTACAAATGAGGCCATTTGGTGCATGCTACATCTCTCACAGCCTCTTCTCAATTGTCAACTTTTAAAGTGAATCAAAATGTTTATTAACTCTCTGTATATGAGCTAATCATGAAACTATAAATAACTCTGAACACATTAAGTGTATCTTTGAAATTTGACAAGCTTTTAGTAAACATCACAAGTTGGTTTTACAGAAAAAATTAAGATTTTTCAATAAGATATTTTTACAAAAGATTTGTATACAAATTTATGAAGCTTTTACTGGGTCAGTCTAAGTGCAAGGTGATGTTCATGTTAAAATATTTCTTTCATTATACAGTTTCCTAGTTCATTTTCTTAACCTCTAGAGCATTATTTCCCAAACTATGTTCTGTGGAACACTGGTGTTCCATCTGAGATTGATAGGTGCTCCGTGAGAAAATCATGAGTTTAAATTTTAATAAAATATTTAACACATTTTGTATGATCATAACTTATTATGAAATATTTTCCTGTGTATTATAATTAGATGATATCGATTTCACATTGAAGAAGAATTATAGAAAATGCCATATCTATTCTACATAATATCTTAGTGGAGAGGTTTGTACCTAAAATATATTATAAACATAAAAATGTAAAAAGTCATTAATATGTAATTTTATTAAATAAATAAATGAATAATATGATATACAAATCTAGAGGGTGCTGCATACGCAACATACCCTCTACCATATGGAGGTGATTGATATTATTTCAAACCTACAATTTGCTATTAAATGTTATAACACTACTATTATTAAGGAAGACTGAAAGTTTGTATCATTAGAACTCTGTAATATATCTTAGTTTTGTGTAATGTCTTACCATTGAGGTGAGAACAATATCATATAAAATCACAATAATTTAGATATATGGTAAAACACAAAGATTTTCTTTGAAATTACTATTGGACAAAGACCTCAGACTGTCAATGTACCTTGAGGTCCAATATCACCATCTGGTCCTTTGAGTCCTTGGAATCCATATGGTCCTGGGAGTCCTATAGTTCCTCTGTCACCAGGTGGTCCTTTCAACCCATTAAGCCCGGGTATACCTCTATCCCCCGGAATACCTGTAAGTCCATTTAACCCTCTGACACCAGGAAGCCCGATTTTACTTAAGTCTAATGGGGGTAGTTCTACCTCTCCTGGTTCACCAGGACTGCCTTGTTCACCTGAAAAAAATTAGTCAATTTTCTTTGTTAGTTCTTGAAAAAAAGATAGGTGCCTTCATTTAAAACTGAAGGATTCTTTTTTGCTAATCTTGAGGTTCAGAAATGTAAGCTGTTTGGGATCAATTAAGTAAGTTCTAATGTGTACTAAACAGTTTTACAAACATTTGTCACAAAACCCAAAAAGATTTTAATAAAAAGATGTTACTGTTTGCTTGTTTGTAATTAAGCACAAAGCTACACAATGGGCTATCTGTGCTCTTCCCACCACGGGGATCGAAACCCAGTTTCTAGCGTTGTAAGTCCGCAGACATACTGCTGTGCACTGGGGAGCAAAGATGTTACTATCTTTTTTCTAAGTAATTAATTCCTAGTTGTTTCTGTCTGTTGTTAAGAAAACAACTACACAATGGGCTATCTGTGCTGTACCCATAATCAATCGAAACACAGTTACTGGAGGTATAATTCCTAGTAACTTCCTGTTAATAATTTGTTACATTCTACTGAATCAAAAAATGTATATTTTGGATATATATATCAGTTGATAGCTGTTTGGTTGTATAATGAAGCTCAACATTTCACTGTGTGACCTATCTTATCTTGTATAAGATAACTTAGAATTTAGTTTCTACATGTTGGGAACATATCAATTAAAATTTCCAACAAATGATCAAGAGAGGAAAATTATGTGAATAAAAAACATAAATAATTCAAAAATCTGTAAAAATAAACAGATTGGTTTTTGAAGTATAAAATAAATTTCTGAAGTATACAAGTACTAAATACCTTAGTTAGTCTCCTACAGTTTATATTTCATAAGTATAAAATGTTTCGATTTTTCTATGGTACAGTTTTATTTGGAACATTTTAAATATGGATGAGGTCATATGATAAATTTACCCTAAAACATCATGTTTTGTAGCTTGATAAATCATGGAACTAATATATTTTTTCACAGACTAAGGTGTTAACTTTTGTATCTTGATAAGTCAAGGAACTTCTGTTTTTTCTTGTGATAGTTCAATTGTATTCTGCTAAACCATGTGTGTATGGAGAATGTTCAGGTTGGTTGGTTGTTTAGCATTTTATGGCACAAAGCAATGAGGGTATCTGCATCAAACACCTGATATAAACATAAGAATAAAAAGTAAAACTCTAGAAAATGTAAAAAAAGAAACAAGTTAAAAAGCTAAACAATGTCCAAAAATCTCATAGAGATGTAAAGAGGCCAATGGTCTATAAAAAGTTAAAAACACAATCATGTTGGACAGTGTCACCATTGCCAATGACACCATCCAATGTCAGGGGTAAACCTGTAGAAAGTACATGTCTAAAATGGTGCCACTGCTCACAGTCTAAATGATGGCACAACAGTAAAACATGGGCTATTGTGACATGAGTGTCACAAAGGCCACACATTGGTGGAACAGTCCCAGATAAAAGAAAATGATGAGTTCAAAACTGTGACCAATGTGCAGCCTAGCCAAAACAACTTCCTCCCTTCGATCGTTATGGAAACAAGATGGCCAAAAAAACAACAAAAGGTTTGAACTGGAAGAGCTTGTTAAGATGTTGCTCACTCTAAATCGACTGCCAACTGGTGCAAAGCCTAGCCTTGAACACAGGACCGTAGTCCATATATGGGACAGGCATGGCTGTAATTGCACTAGAGCAGACAGACTTAGCTATGGTGATCAAGTATCCAGAAAAACTGGATAGAAACAAAAGATACAGAAAAATGTGCCAGTTGTTTTTGAATGTCAACAAGAATGGGAACAGCAGAATGGTTTGAAAGATGTTCAGCAAAGAGAAGATGGTACTTCCAATTGGGAGTATCCATCTTCCTCAGATGACTCAATGTAATGTCATTGGTGGGGATGGTAACAAGCTATGGTGGCATGGACCAATCATCAGACTCAGCAACAGCCTCCAATTTAGACCCAATCCAGTCAGCTGTGCCTAGATACAAATGATAAAGGAGGAATGGCGGACCATTTATTTTGAAAGAGCACAGCCCACCAAGGAAGGAAGACACATCCTCAGGTGGGATGCTGTAGTAAGGATGAAAGCTTGGTAGCATATTGTAAAGAAAGGTGCAAATGGCAGAAATGAAGAGGAAGTTCATGGGACTCAGTATACAAGCTCTAGACTGGTGAAGTGCGGAAAGCCCTCATGCAGAGCTGTAGCCCCAAATTGTGAACAGCATCCAGCATCTTAAAGGCAGAGGGCCTGGCAGAACCATAAACTAGAGACTCATAGTCCAGCTTAGAACATATAAGGGCACAATAGATCTTCAACATAGAACATCAACTCGTGCCCCAAGAGGTGGAAGAGAGGACATGGAGGGCGTTCAGTACTCTTGAAACGTAGTTGCTTGGTGTGAAAAATGAAAGTAAGTTTACAGTCAAAGATAAGCCCCCAAGAATTTTGCTTTGGGAACCATGGGAAGAAAAACACCACCGAGACTGAGATCGGGGTTGGAGTGTAAACCCCACCGGTGGCAAAAGTGCATGCAAACGGTCTTGGAGAAAGAAAAGGTAAAAGCATTTGTTGTGGTCCACTTCAACAAACGATTGAGGGCAGTCTGAAGCTGCTGCTCAATGAACCTAATGTTCAAGGACCAAAAAGAGATGTGGAAGTCATCGACATAGAGACTGTTTGCAACAGTAAGAGAAAGTTATTGAGTAATGGCATTAATTTTAACACTGAAGACCATGACACTCAAGACACAGCCTTGAGGGACTCTTTCTTGTGTGAAAGAACAGAAAAGGATCCTGCAAAATGCCATACCTTCATGTGGTGTTGTAAGCCTTCTCAAGATCGAAAAAGACAGAAACAAGATGTTCTCTCTTGAGGAAGGCTTCAAGTTGAATCAGGTGGTCCATGGTGAAGCTCTATCGGTGAAAACCACATTGGGTAGGAGAGAGGAGGTCAAAGCAATAAGATGACAGTTAGAAGGAATCTTGAGATCCTTCCCAGGCTTTGAAAAAGGTAGAACAATAACCTTCCACCACATATCAGGAAAAACCCTCCAAGAAATATGAGAGAAAAGTGAAAAAGAACAGATAGATAGATCAATAACCATAATAGACTAAGTAGGTGCATGAAAATAGGTAAAAGCACCAGTGTTGAATTATAGATAAAAAATGGGATCTGAGAGCATATGCTCCACAGAATGATCCCTCCCATAAATATCAGCACCATCCCAAGACTCCCAAGATGAAAAAGGAAGACAGCAATTGTTCTATGAGGGCATCAAGGTCTGTTTGATCATAAATCTCTCTGGGAGATAGGTAGAGAGAACAAAGTGTGATGGTACGACCCACGGAGATACGAATGGTGACTGCCTCCAGGGGCACAGACAAGGTAGGTATGTGCTGGTCAACCAGCAGTGCCACCCCTCCATGGACTCGACCATCAAACGACCTGTGATTCCTGTCAGAAGGTCTGGGGAATATTTTCTGTAAGGTAAGACACATGGGATAATAGGAATGAAGGCCTTAATGTCATCCAAATTAGAAGTGAAACTTCGACAGTTCCAATGTATCAAAGTGGCTATTTTCATTTAGGTGAAGGAGAGCTGGGTGGAGAACCCTTCTGCTTGCAACCACACCATTTGTCTTTTGTAGACGGAGGTCTGTCAACCACCATGGAATTTGCCCTGGGTCTATTGGGCAGATCTCTGTTGGAAGAAGGAGACTCCAGTGACTGAGGGCATGACCGAATAATGGTTTTACATATCAAGGACAAAGGAGTTGGACCTGAGCAGTCACTGGAAGCAATGGCAGGAACAGAGACAGGAGCAGACATTGACTTGTCAACTTGTGCAACCATGGAGAGTAAAAGACTCTTCAGTTAGTGCGAGAAAGACTCTGATGGAGGCACTGAAAGATCTGTCTGCACTCCCACTGTTGCAGTGGAATGTAGAGCAACAGAGATGGAACAGGAGACAACAATTTTCTAGCCTCTGGATAAAAAATGTTGTTAACAGTTTGTAAACACTGTACCTCCTTTTCCTCTACTCACTTAAGGCAAGATCTATGGTAACCAGGGTGGGAACCACCACAATTGGTACAGAGGCAGGTGGATTTAGTGAAGTAAATGTTAAGATCAGAATATTGGTTGGCAGCATAATTTCATCCTTGCGAGTGGAGATACAGTGCACAGCAGGAACTCCTTGGCTGGAGAAACCAGCGAGAATCTCTGGCTTGGTGTTGTTCTTCAAATCCCTCTCAACAATAACTTCTCATGAGGAGTTCAAAGTAGCATGGGGAGTAACCTCAATAGGTATGTCACCAAGGGCTTTTGACTTCAGGAGGAGTTCACTATGTGTTGGTGTAGGTGTTTCCACCAAGATGTCTCCAGAACGTAACTTTTTGACTGTCTTGGGAGAGCCAGTAAGCCCCTCTAATCCCTTCTGAATGAAAAAGGAAGACATTTGTCATACAAAGAATGAATAATTAAAAATTGAAGTACAGGAGTTGACTTTGGTGGTGACTGTGTAACAGAATCTTCCATACATGTTCGTTTATCTATTAACTGTTTTTTTATTATTTTATTTTTTTCAAGGATTGGGGAATCCATAATAGAAGAATAAATATTCAGTGCCCACTGAACACAATGACAAACTAGGACACTGTGGCAATGCCAGGACTTCATGAACAATATATCCAAATACCAGCATCAGACACAATGTCCACAACACCCACTGAAAACGCCCAACATTGGTACTCAGGAACAGCTGACTGACCCTGGGAGAGCCACCCCAAGACCACCTGTCTATGGGAATTCAAGGCCAATGTGGTGTGTTGCAGTGCTCCAGACACCACTCAACCACCAGGATCTTCTCCTCCCCTTCATGGGTTGAGATGTATGGCAAACACGTGGGTGGATGTTTAGATCTCAGAGGAGGTAAAATGATAATAGAGAACCTTCCCTGGGAGGTCTCCTCACCATGTACAAGAATCCACCTCAAGGGTAGAGAATGTTCAATGATTGTCACATGGGGCAGAGATATTTCCACATACTTGTCTTCATTTTCTGATTGGTTAGCTACAGAGACAAACAATGTCTACTGTGAATGCAGTTTTGGCACTTTCCCATCAGATTCAATCCAACTTTGATCAAAGTAGTTTGTTTTTCTAAGCTGAGAGAACCAGAACCTGCTGAAAGTGCATCCTCATTATCTTAATGCTCATGTATCTGTTGATTGTGCATAGTTTGTTTCTCTCTTGGTTATTCACAAGTTAAAGTTTTTTAACTCTTCACATTTATTTGAATACAGTTTATTTAATTTTTTTTTTTCATTTACCATAATATGCTGCCATAAATTGCATTTTCCACTGTCTTTTATTAATATAAGAAATTGAAATTTTTTTGTTTGGTCTGTTTCTATACAATTTTGGCATAAGCATGTGGTCTTGAAAACTGTTTCTTCTAATTGTTTTTGTGCTTTTATTGTTCTCTATCAGATAGCATCTGCTTTACTCACAGGAATGTTGCTACAACTTTACACATTTTGTAGGAACAGGTCATTTACAGAAATGTCCTTTGCTGGCCAAGTGGATGATAACTAGAGGTTACAATCTCTATTTGTTGTTTGATGATGACAAGTAATGTGGTAATGTGTATGGTTTCTAGGTAAAACTGTGGTTATCTGCTTAGCCTTGCTCAGTTATCAATGTGAATAGTTCAATGGAGATGCATCTTGAAGGAAGAAAGCTGTTAATCAGTTCACAGGTCCAATAAGAAGACAACTGTCCAGTGTCTTATGCAAATAAACACACTATTTTTTGTACTTTGTAATATAATAAAGATTGTTGTCCAATTTATACTATGTGTCCACTCTATCTTTTCTCTTAAAATCTCAGTTGTTTAGTTAAATTTAGATTTACTCTGTGATTATCCTGTTGAAAAGCAGACCTAACAATACTTGCACAGAAATTAGTTACTACAAGAATACCATATTATCATTTGAGGATCAACTTAAGCAAGCAGCTGATATTAATTTTGACCTCAATATCATGTCTTGCTCTGTCCTTCTCTTACATTTCACCTATAACAAATCACTATATCTGTCCTTCCAGACATTATATCACAAACCTCTAGTTTTTGAGGAGATAAAGGACTGTTAGGTTTATCTTTGAATTACAATAATTTCAATAAGAATTGGAAAGAACAAAAAAGTATGGTTAAATACACACAATTTGATGCTTGAGCCTTTTTTTTGCTTTTCAATCACTATATTAGTTGAAAAGATTTTAATTATTTTACACTTAGAACACATGTATCCCATGAATCATTAATATGCATTTCAATTAATTTTAATCTGATCATGTATCACCATATATAAAAGTATCATTCAACTTCCTATTAATAAATTAATAACAAAGAAATTTCTATAACCAATAGTAACAAAACTTTAATTTTTTCTAGTAGCCAAAACCTACCAATTACCCCAGGAAAGCCCTTTAAGCCAGGAAACCCATGTGTTCCATGATTGCCTCTTATGCCTTTTGGTCCAATTGGTCCTAAAGAACCAATTTCCCCATATCCTCCTTTTAAGCCTTTAAAACCTGGTATACCATCTTTTCCCTGGATTACAGAGGAAAGTGTTTTATTAACAAAGAAATGAATTTGTTGTAACTGTGAAATGATTTTTTCATGGGTATTTTTTTTCCATAACTTATCAATACAAAAACACAAACTATTGGAAATTTAGAGAAATGCTGATTTCTAAAATACAACATAGAATGCACAGAAAAAAACAACTTATTCCTACGAAGTATATTAAAGATAACCATAGATTAGTCAACTTTTGAAAAAATACGATTTTTTCTAATGGTTAATGCCAGTGCTTATATTCTTTAATCTTAAATATACCAAGGTTTTTCTTTATTTTTGTCATCTATTTTTGTCATTATAGAATATGTATTCATATGAGATAAAGCATAGTGTTAAGGGATTATAACAAGAATAATTAAGACCAATCCTTTTGTTTTGTCTTGAAATTTAAGCCTAAAGAGGTAGGAACTTTTTTTAAGAACACAAAGCACACAGTAATGTAACCTTAATGGCATTCTGGATAAAGTGAGACTGATGAATGTATTATATGTAAAAATAAAGCTAAAGAATCTATTTCAAGACTTTCTAAACAAAATAATAAAAATATATAGTAATGAAAGCCAAAAGTTTTTTTCAAATTTTAATTTTGTTGTTTAATAATACTGAAGCTATAAAAACAGTCATTCATGAATATTTTGTTATGTCATATTCTGTTTCTATGATAGAGAAATTAATGCCTTGATGTTATGGTACTTCTCAATGTGTTCCTGTAGGATAAGGACAGGATATGACATCATGTTAATCCAGGAATAAGAATAAGCTGATGACAATAACACCTAAACTTGAGCTTCGCAAGCATGGATTATCTATAATAGTACCATTATAAAATATCAAACATCATTATTAGAAAGAGGAATATCAGTGAAAAAACACAAATGCAAATTTTTATTAGTTTTATATTACAAGGAATACATTTTTGTATTCATGGTTTGAGAAGCAATGCATTATAGAAATTCATACATAAAGTAATATAAACATTTTTATATTATATTGACAAAAATCCCATAATAGAAATAAAAAAATATGCTTTTTGATTGATACAATCTTGATTATAAAAAGTATAACATTTAGCAATTATTCTAAATCCATTCAACTTCCATTTCTACTACTACACACAGACATGCACTAAAGTAATTTCTTACAGATGGGCCTGGGTTTCCAGGTTTTCCTCGAATTGCCTTGCCTGGACTTCCTCTATCTCCAGGTGGGCCTGGTAAACCTTGAGGTCCACGGTTACCTTGAACACCTGGTTCACCATAACCAGGGGGCCTTCCAAAAAAACAACAAATTAAATTCATCAGACCAGAAAAAAACAAAAAACAATTGACAAACATTCCTAGAAACTACTATAAATTTTCTAAGTTGTTAAAAAGTTTTCTATTTTTCCTAAAATTTTATTTTCATGTACTTAGGAAATTCTTTACATTAAGGCTCAAAGAAATAGCAGCATACTTAACAGGAATAAGGTACATTATTTCTCCTAGTCTTTCTATGTAGTAATTCATGGCAAACATTCAACATTGACAACACAGAATGTTCTTCATGATTAGAACACTAATTTGATGGATAAAGAGCATTTCAAATATTTATGCTACACTTTACATGTGAGTGGGACTATTGATACAGAACTCAAACAATGCATAGTACAGGTGTTAAATCTTTTGTGTATACATGTGAAAAGCTATCAACAAGAAACATCCTCATAATAAACCTCTTTGGAGCAAACAACATCTGCTTTAATGAAGCAATTGAAAAGGAGAAAAATAATTGGTCTTCAGAATAACCTCTGGGAAACCTTACTGTCCAGTAGTTAGTAATATATTGTTTGAACCAGTACCTGCTCTAAGAAATGTCTTTTTAGGGCATGTTGACTCCAACTTGCTATTAAAAATATGATGTCATCTCAGCAAACAGTCCCATCTATAATGCTAGCTAAATAACAAATGTGAAAGACTTGACAATCTGATTAAATTCTTTTTGTATTTTGCTGTATGTATGATATGAGTGTTGCTTCAATAGACAATCACTTCTGTTTTATCCTCAACATAACTTGATGTCTATAAATACATTTCAGAAATATACCTTCTTAACTGTACAAAAAATACAACTTTATAATAGAGATTTTTTTAAACGCTTGTAGTTAAAACCATGTAGTATTTGATTTTCAAATAATTAATTTTCAGTGAACATGTTTTATAATCATACAACTTTGAAAAATAACTTAACATCGAAACATTTTCTAAAATATAATGTATACTACAGTCATATGTTGGTTATGTAGAAGCTTCTAATATTATTGTCAAATTATTTTTAAGTTTTGAATTAAATGTCATTTATTTGTTCTGTTTCTCATACAGTGACAGAAATGTGTAGTTAAAATTAAGAACAATAAAAAGTGATTGGTTTACAAAGCTAAATTCATTATTTTGACAATTATAAAATTTCAGTTAATTACGTGTTGGAAAATCAATATTGTTTAAGTACTAAGACTAATAAAACAGTTACAATATTGCATGGTCACTGTGCATCTTATCTATTAAAGCCATTCTGAAACCATTATCAAACTACTGTGAAATACATTTTACTTTATATATTCACTTAAATGACCTGTTATTATTTTATCATGCTTTATATTACAGCTGTTTACACACTGTAGATTTCATTACTTATATGCCTTTGAAAAGAAGTTATGAAGATTGAGGTATATGACTTGCTCCTTTTGTATGTAATTTAAGATAGATAAATGTTTAATAAGTAATCTCTGTATGCTCATTAAGATGACTTATGTGTACATGTGTCTGTTTGCATGTATGTGGCAGTTTGGTAGTTACACACAATTGACATGTTTTGCTAACAACTTGTGCTGATCCTAGTCTATTATTTTATATACCTCCTTCAAGTTTAAGTGATTTATGTAAGATTTGTTTAAATATTTGAACAAAAATTATGATAACATACAGAAATCTGTGACCCAAGATAACAATGAATTTCATAAGTATTCTTACTAGTTGAATTGATAATTTCATATAGTAAACTTTTCAGTTTTTAGTAGATAAACTAATTAAGTAATCTAAAGTAAATAGCTAATGCATGGCTGACAACCTAAGCAACTGAATTCCATTAACAAGTACCTCAAATTCTCATGTATATAGCAAGTGAACTAAATTCAAGCAAGAAATATCTTTATCCCTGATGTCTGAATTCCAGAAGCAGTAATAATTAAGGGCAAGAATGACTTAAGCAAGATATGTTCAACTAAAATCAACTTATGTATTTCTTCTTTCTCAATTACATATGGAATTTTCACACATCAATACAGTACCTATACATCTATGTACTGAAGTTTTAAAAATAAAACGCAAAGTTGATGATCAAGTTAACAACTTATGTGAACAGAATGTACTAGCCCCCAGTGGCACAGCGGTGTGTCTGCAGACTTATAACACTAGAATCCGGGTTTCGATACTCGTGATGGGCAGAGAACAGATAGCTTTGTGCTTAATTTCAAACAAACAGAAAGTACAAAATAAAAAAGTCAAACAAAGTAATTTTTAGATTAAGTCATGAAGTATATAACATTATTTAAGTGTGATTTACATAATGGTTTGTTTTTAGTTCAAGATTTCTTATTATATCCAATAAAAGCTTCAAGCCATTCTTGCTAAATGTATGGTATTAATTTTGAGTACTCATGATTTTAATAAACAGTTCAATTCAGATTGCAATTGTTAACAATTCAAATGAATGGCTAAAATACAAAGAAATTGATTTTTAAAATATTTTTATTTAGGTGCTCATTGTTTTGTAAAAATGAACAACTTTCCTTTTTTGCTATCTAAAAAAAAAAACAATAGGACAATTTAGCATTTTGTTAATTACTTTTATATAAGATAAAGTTTCTCAGTTCCCACTTAAGACATATACTGCTCACCACTTGATTGAAATACATGAATTATAAATACCTACAAAGTACAAAATATAAGAGAAATATATCTCCAAGTCTTTAAACCATAAATTAAAAAATGCTTTACTTTAAAGCATAGACAAAGAGCCTTTAAAAGCAAAACTAAGATTTTGAGTGATGTTAGTAATCAAAAGATGTTACTCTGCATTCCACAGTTACTCTTATCATCACATGTTTTTGTATAAGTTCTTTAATACTCAAGACTAAGTTCCTTATGAAAGATGAGCTAAAAAGCATCTGATGGCTTAATGACAGTCCAGTGAACCTGGCAAACTGACATGTCCCGAGCTTACATGTAACATAAGACAATTTTTCATTCCCCCCCCCCCCCCCACCTGATCAAGATTAAGGTGAGATTCGAGTGTAAGAAATCCCACCCTCATCTGTTGCATTGGGTATTTACATTACCTTGTTCCAAGAATTACCACAAACTAGGTATCCAAGATATGTACATATAAAACACTACTGAACAAAATTATAAATCTTCATCATGATGCCTGATAGCTGCACAAATGTTATATATATTAGGTCATCAAGAATTTAAGTTGCTTTTTTTTTTATATGCAACAACCCGAACAACTTATACATCAAAACAAAACATTATAACATTATAAGCACAGCATGAAAAAAAAGCTTATTTTACTTTGTTTCTAGAAAATATCAACTCGAACAGTTTCTACTATGCTTTGAATATACCTAGTGTTTTTGATATGGAAGATATACAGCAAACATGATGTTTAGTTTCAAACATGAAATATGTCACTAAGAAGCAATAATCACTAACCTTCATTTATTTCTTATGAAAGCAATATTTCTTACAGTATGAAATCAAGTTCAAAAAGGAGACATGAGATCCAGTGTTCATGAGAAGTATATATTACTTCAAATAATACGGAATTTTAAAAGCTACTGAAAAGTAATTTAATTTGATGAACATAAATATTCAAAAACATTACTCACAGAAAAACTGTTTTTATGTTTGTCTGTTGGCAGCAAAATGATTTCATTTAGCAAACTTTTTAATACTGCTATTGCAAAAATTTCATCACAGTAACCAAGTAAGAGACCTTTTTCATGGAGTTTCGAACCTATTCTTGAAAACATTTCTATAAAGCTTTGCTCAAGTTCTAGGCTAACATTTAATATATTCAATCATCTTGCCCTTTTTCCTGTGACTGTAAAAACTCCTATCTTCTTGTTGCAATTCAGATGAAGTGTAGTGATTTGCAAAAAACAAATGGTATCTATATAAAATTAATCCTTTCTGGAAGACGAAACATGATAGGCAGGACTTTTGATTCAGGTAGTTTTATTCTTCTGAGATTATAAAAGCATGTAAGTATGAAACTTCAGTATTTGTTTGTTTTAGAGCATTGCTACATTAGGATATCTGCAGTGTCCACCATGGGGAATCAAAGCTAGATCTTCAGTATTTATAAGAAAGTAATATTGTCACTTAGCAAAGCAAAGAAAAACATGATTTCATTAGGAAAACAAAACAGACTACACCATGGCTGGCTATCAGCTACACACTGGAGGCACTGAAGAAAGTCAAATAACTTGTCACATGATTCAAGCTGTTCACTTTGGAACAGTAAAGAAGATAAGTAACCTAAATTTACATGTAAATAAGTAACACAAGTGTGATGTTCACAAGCTATTTCCAAAGCACTCAGCTAAACAGAAAATCAATGGTTAAAAACTGTATAAGTGGTATCTTGCATATGGTAAATGAAAACATGTTATCACACTGGCATGAACAAATCATATATCTACATAAGTGTCTGCAACAAAGTCCAAAGTCCAGGGAATTTATTTTCACTTAGATAGTGATACAACATTTTAAAAATGCAACAGAACATATTGTAAAAGTTGTTTTCTTAGCAATCTACAGTAATTTCAGCTTACAATTATAATTGTAAGTTATAGTATTCTCAATGAGAAAAGCTCTTTTTACCAATATGGCCAACATTTTTTTCTGAAACTAATAGAATTTGGAATTATATGTTAGTTCTTTAATACTGAATAAATGCCTTGAAGATAATCATAAACTCTTTTCACAAGACCCTATATTCCTTTTTAAACTTAGTTTTAAGAGGACAAGCAGAATATCTGGTGAATTGGTAGTAATAACTATATCACATGAAGCATGCGATAGGTTTATTTGTTTGTTATGGATTATGCGGAAAGCTACACAAGGGCTATCTGTACTAGTCGTCCCTAATTTAGCAGCGTAAGACTAGAGGGAAGGCAGCTATGTTTGCTTATAAATGTTTCATTAAATGAAACAGAAATTACATTGGAGTTGTTGAAATGACAAGTCTCATTTGGCATGCAGGGGAAATTACTAAGAGCATCTCAACTATTATATATTTTGTTTGTGCCTATAGAGCTAGATTTTAGTGTGAGACAACCTTTACATTTATGATACATGCTTATTCCTCATGAACTTTGAAGGGTGGAAGTAATGTTTGTATGTAAATATGAAATAAATATGTATTTAAGGAAATAGTCTCAACATCAATATCCACACACACACATACACAAACTAGGAATATTTACTTTTTTGAATTTTTACAACATGTCTAGCTAATAGTTTTGGCTTCTAAAAGGGTATATTATTTGTATAACGTTTGTTGGCAGATTTTAATTTTTTAAATACCATAGTTCCACTGTAACTATTTCTGCATTTCACCATACCAAAGCAACCAAAATTACAAGATAGTTTATCATAGAACAACATTATAACACAACCACTTCTTAAATTTAACTCTTATTTTTACTTAGTAAAAGTTACACAGAATATATTGCACAAAATTGTCAATAAAACAAATAAAAACAACATTCACAGCTCAGCTTGGGGTACATTTCCTTCTCAGGTTCATTAATATTTATTATTTCTTTTCACTAATATTTATTAAGGAAAAAAAATACTCAAAATTTGTGTAAAATGTCAGAAAAAATAAATAAATGAGCAAAATCAAGCATGAGTTGTTTAGAAATTGTTGCAGTTAAATGATTTACAAATTGATGCACATCAACCATTTTTTGTTTTATTCATACACAGTCTGCATGCTCCAAATAATGATACACCCAATGAATATAGACAAAAAACTATGCACAGAAATTTGTATACAATACACAAGTGCCTGTAGAGCTTGAGTGCATAAACACAAAATTTTAAATATTGTTCAAAATGAAACTTTGTCTTTTAACTTGTGCTGTAATATGAAACACAAACAATTACACCCAAGCATCTTACTATAATGGAGCTTGCGATGTGTATGTCCAAAACTCGGATCTTGGAAACTACCACACCTATCATCACCAAGCACAACTGGGTAATATTTTCATAACTATGAAGTATTTTTATAGCTGAGCAATAAATAATACAATTGAAATTTCCACAAAAATGATGTGTTTCAGATTCAACCAATAAAAATTACAAAAAAAGGAGCAAATTTCAAATATAAAACAATCAAAATTCAAACTTAAAAAAAAATAATTTGTTTTTCCTTAGTGAAAATCTCATGAATGTTGTAACAGAACAACAGTTGTAACAGTTTCATTGATAACTGCATCTACAAAGAAATACTTCAATAAAATAGACTCTGTGATGTAATGCAGTGATGATAGCTCATTTTTAAACTCAAATTTCAATAAAATCATTTTTTTCATGGATGGTGACCATTATTGAATGTCAAGTATGAGTATGTTGTAGAACTGTCAGACAATTCCAGAAAAAGCCACAGGACCAATAGCCTTCCATAGGAACTAGCAGTTATACCTGCCCAGAGGATGGGTATTTCTGCTAGTTGAAACAACTTAAAAATTATGTAAAAACAAATAGAATAGTGGCAAGATACATCATTGCATAAACAGCTAAATAATTTTTACAACAATGATCTAAGATAAGCTTTCATAAATGAGGTGATTCATGTTATCACAAAGACAATGCTATTCTCTAATATCTAAAACTTGCATAATTGATTTTACCAACACATTATTCATTAAAATTCTATGGAAGTAGATATAACGGATGCAGCTTTGTTAACAAATTATATTTGCATGCATAAACATTTACAAGTAATTTTTCAGTAAAATAAATATTTATACAAACACATATAAAAGAATAATATGCATCATGTTCTTCTTTATAATACAATTCTTAAAGATTTGATTTTTCTCAAGAAAGTATTTGTTTTAAATTTTTATACTTCAGTGAAATAGGCTTTAGTAGCACATTGATAACTGAAATAGTATTCTTGAAAATTGTTTTTAGTAGGCTGCAATAGTTAAATTCCTTATTTTGTTTATTTGTTTTTGAATTTCGTGCAAAGCTACACGAGGGTTATCTGCACTAGCCGTCCCTAATTTAGCAGTGTAAGACTAGAGGGAAGGCAGCTTGTCATCACCACCCACTGCCAACTCTTGGGCTACTCTTTTACCAATGAATAGTGGGATTGACCGTCACATTATAACGCCCCCACGGCTGAAAGGGCGAGCATGTTTGGTGTGACGGGGAATCGAACCCGCGACCCTCAGATTGCGAGTCAAGTGCCTTAACCTCCTTGCCATGCCGGGCCTAAATTCCTTATCAAGGAAAGTAACTATAAAGTATGTGAACAAGAATAGTTTTATCAGTAAACATGAATTGTTTTAAAACTCCATTTTTACAGTTTACCTTTACAATTAATTACAAATGCTAATCTTTAAAACATAATATCATATAATGTGTTTTCTAGAGAACATAAGAGGCTAGATACTGAAACAAAACTCTTGCCACACATGCACAAATATGATGTTCACTTTAAAGTAGATGTATGTTTAAAGCACATGCCAAGGAAACTAAGTATTTCAAAAACGTCATTTACTAAAATAGCAAAAACTTTTTAATCTTAAAAGCAATTTACATTTAGTGTTTCCTGAAGAGACATGTCTTAGAACATGTGTTAATTTTAACCTGTTACTAAAGTGCTAACTTGTGGTAAGCAAGGTTTCCTCCAGGCTATGCTGAAGATAAAAAATCCATTGTTTATCTTTTGATCGTTCAAATGTATCTTTACAGTAGGTGAAATTTACACTGAAAAAAGTCATGGGTTTGTTTCTTGTTTTCAGCTCTTCATATTATGAAAGAAAATTTTAAAATCAATACTTAAAATCACTTTTATTCTTATATCAAAAGACAATTAATTTGAACAGAGACCATTCTGATGCAATATTAGTAAATGGTATCACTACAGTTTTGTATAACTCACCAGAAGGACCTCTAGGGCCTATTGGTCCTTGTGCACCTTTCTCTCCAGGTAAACTTAACCCAGGAAAACCTTTTGGACCTGGTGGACCATCTCTACCAGGTGTTCCTGGTTCACCTGGATGACCAGGTTGTCCTGGGATCCCATCACGAGCTGGTAATCCAGGTTCTCCTTTTTTAGTCTTGAAGCCTATTGTTGTAGAAAATATTGTCCTTCATATTTCATATAGATTTTAGAACTATTATCATTACTATCAATTTCAGCTTTGAAATTAGAAACCTTCATTAACCTATTTACCTATTTAGATTTACACAGATATTTTCAAGAGTTATGCTGGAAAATTAACATTTTCTAACACTGTAAATGTATTTCCAATAGGCACTTACCTCCCATCACCCATAGCTATCTCAACCTTCATTTGCCCTCTAGGCATTGTTAAGCTTTTTAAAAGTTCACCAGTCTTTTACCTCCTATATTTTTTGCATCATTGCAGCAACATGTGCTGATTCTGTGACCACCATCCACCAATCCCATTGCACCCTCTTTACTAGCACAGGTAGCTCCTTCTACCCTTGCAGCACAATCTCACTTTCAAGAATTGGCACATACAAACCCCAAAAGACTAGAAAATCAATGGGGAGGAAGGGTGGAAAGTGGGTAAGAAGAGGTAAGTACCTATTGGAAATACATTTTCAAAGTTAGAAAATGTTAACTTCTGAAACAGTACCACCTTTACCTCCCCATAACTAGAATCCCACATTGTAAAGGTGGAGGGGCCAGTGAAGGTGCAAAAACAAATAACCAAGCAGAGAGCGACCACTATAAAAAAAAGCAGGTGTGCAACAATTATAATACAGGGTACACCTGTGGGGTATAGCACTATTTTTTGAACAGGTATGCTCTTCACCCAGTAAAGAAGATAAGACATGTAGGGTGGAAACAAACAGAATATGTGGCTAGGGCTAGAGGACCATATATGAATAGGCCAAGTGTGGTTTGCACAGGTAGAAAACATTCACAGAAAGCACCTTGGGATGCTATATATTATGCCAAATGCAACACAAGAACAAAAACAACATGGAAGCACCTTGCATAAGTTTTTAAAATCAACAAGTGTGGCCCAGCCAGGGAAAACACCTTGGATTGATATCAAGAGATGTCCACCCATGCTAAAAACAGTCCGGGGGGGGGGGGGAAGCCCCTTGGTATACAAAGGATTATGTCAAGTATGGTCTGCCTGGGCAGTAACATCAAGTGGAAGCATGTTGCATAATAGAATTCATGCCATATTGTGTGTATTATATGCAGCATAACGATGATAGCATTCTTTTCATCAAGTTAGTACATATAGCTATGAGATAGTGTTATTGCACAAAACCCACTTGTGAGGAAACCTCCACAAGCCACCACTCCAGCGACTGGGAACCAGAAATGGGAAGGACCCCTGTGCTCCACTAGAAGAAAAAGGAGGGAGAAGATATGTTGGGGGTCCAGAGGAATGATTCACCAGAGACAGTACAATTGGTGTCTGCATATTTTGAAAAGCAGAAAGAACCAAATTGTAAAAATGACGGGTCATTAGGGATGGGCAAAAATCCCTATGTGCTTTACTCATGAAGTCTATGAGTGATGGTCCCTAGGATATATATATATTATATTAATACAAATGCGATAAATAGATACAGATACAGCACCAGAAAAGTGCCTGGTGGTCTTGCAGAAACACTCCATCTCCACAGTGAGCATTAGAGAAGTATACAGATATAGTGCTAAATATTAGCATATCTGACAAGGCAACACCTGCCACCAAATGCGATCCTGAAATATGATGTATAAGCAATGATAAAAGAAAAAGAAAACGTCAACTTACCTCACTCACAGATGTGTGTAGAATCGCAACAGGAGTAACATGATATCTGTAAGAGAAAGATCTTACAAGAAACAAATAGCAAAGGTTGCAAGGGAGAACTGGAGAGGATAGGAAGAACAATATGGAGATCCCAATCCAGCAGAACAAAGGAAACATGTCGCCTTTGGTCTTTTTCCCAGGACTTCTGTTCCTCACCTGTCCCAGCTCTTCATTTGGATTTTTTGTTCAGGGTTTGTCTTTTTCGAACTCTTTCCTTTCTCCCTCTTCCAGAAAGTTTGTCTTTCCCGAGTTGTTCCATTTCTTCATCTGGTCTACCTTGAAGCAAGACCTTAAGCCCCTAGTACAAAGACAAAGAGGAAAGGCAAAAGGTGCAGGCAATGAAAGATGCAACACAAGGAGGTGAGTCCCTGAGCTGAGGCATGGGATGAGACAAAAAACACACAGAAAGATAGAGTATGGTGATGATTGGATGAAAAATGACCAATCACAGATGACACAAGAGGGAACAGGACAGAGAAAGGGGCAGGGTCTGTTGCTCCATGAGGGGTCAGAGTAAAGGGAACTATGTCGGAGCCAGCCAATCCAGAATAGCCAACAGAATACAAGAAGAATGGGTCTAGATAAGGTAAAAAATCTAGAAGAGGAAGAGTCTGAATAGAGGGTAGGCATATAGAGGTGAGCCCCTGAGCTGAGGCATATGACAAAAGTCACTCTGAAAGGAGGAGTGTAGAGATGTCTGGATGAAAACTGTCAGATCAGGGATGACTGAGGAGAGGACACGATAGAGAAAAGGATAAGGTGTGTTGCTCCAGTAAGGACCAGAGCAGAGGAAATCACAACTGAATGGTCAATATAGAAGAATCAGCAGAGCACAACAAGGTTTGGTCTGGATAAAGGAAAACACCAAGAAGATGAATCAAATTGGAGGGTAGGCATATAAGTGAAGAACACTCCAATCTTGACCGAAAGCATTTATCTCCACAGCTGAAGGGTGAGGAACTAAAGTCTAAAAGAAAGAAAGTGTGGCATACCAGTGAATGGGAAACATGTACAAATATGCAGTGTTCTCTGTTGAGAATACACCCACAGAAAAATGTGAGGATGAAGAGATCACTCTGTGGAGAACTTGGTGGGGCCATGATAAGAGATCAGCCACAAGAATCAGAACTCAGGAAACATGACCCGCCAGAATAGTCATGTCAAGGTCATTGGCCCAGTACACAAAATCAAGAATCTGACCAGACAGAGATTGGTATGTGGGTCTCCTGTCTAGGTGATAAAGCTGACGATAGTGGAATTGCAGAAAGAACCAAAATCACTCCCCCCTGCAGGAAAGGGAGGAGAGGATATAGAGCCTAATGAACTGCCAGGGTTCCAGGATGTAGATATGGAAAGTAGCCTCCTCTACTGACCACCAACCCAAAAACTCAGGGTCGAGAAGTACCCAATGTAGGTAATGCTTGTGTGTCTGACCCAAGGGAATGAGCACTTCCAAGGAAGACCACATTCCAAAAGAAAGAAAACCTCAAAGACAGAAAGAGAAGGAATGGCAAACGTGACTGCCCACTCAAAATCCTGCAGCAAGTGAAGAAGGCGGGGCTCGATTAAAATGGAAACTGAAGAGAACCCCCAAATAAATAAGATACTGTGAAGGGTTAGTAAAGGACTTTTCCAATCAGAAAAGAAACACACCTGAAGCTTCTCGAAGAAGGAAGTAAGTATGAGTGATTGACCAGGCACAGGAAGAAGCAAGCAGAAGCCTGTCATCCATGAAATGCGAGTCCGAAGACCCAACAAGTTAAGATGATGTGCAAAAGCATGCCACTCCACAAAACACATACAGACCTGAAGAAAGACAGTCAATGGGCACCCAGAACAGAAAGTCAAAACTCACCTGGAGGATCCAAAGCAAGAACGTGACACTAGGGTATAAAAACCCACTAGAGTGAGAGGTAGGACTCCATGGTGAAGACAGGCGAATGCAAATAAGTATACAGCCAGGCCAGATCAAGAATGGGGCTTTAAGGTCCCGTGTATAGTGGTACAAAGAAGGACAGGAGTGAACTCCTGGTTGAGTGGGCTCCACACCTTAGATAGCTCCATTGTGTAGTAGGACATGAACAGACTAAGCAGAATGACCGGACAAGGTACAATCCTGAGGAGGAGTTCTGGGAAGTGTGTTGAGGGAGAGCTAAACAGAAGTCAGAAACCCTCATAGAGAACCTATAAAAAGAATGGAACTGTCATAAAGTGTAGCTAAAAAGACACATAAACTAAAGAAATTGAAGAAAGTACACAGAACTAATGAACTAACAAAAACTTAGAAATGTGTAGTCTACAAAGAGCTTAAAAGTAACACACCTGCAAAACTAAGAAAATCGACCTAAAACATAAAACAATAAGAAACACTTTAAATATAAAACCACTAAAGGGACTGATAACATAAATGACCCTTAAACATAGAACGTAGAAGTTGACTTAAACAAACTATAAGACAAAGGACACAAAAAGAAAACTTACCCTAAAGAACATGAGAATAAAAAGGCATCCAGGCGACAAAAACAAAGGTTGACTCAAAACTTATCCCCAGTTAGATATGACTATTACTAAAGATACAAAAAAGGAAGTTATAACTAAATAACATTAACGGTGAAAAAATGTAAAATATTAAACCAAATTAATGCAAGAAACAAACTCTATACGCAAGTTGTAAACTAAAGTAACTTAGATGGTAAAAAATATATAAAAATTCGAACTTACACAACACTGACCATAGAAGACATGAATAACATAAATTATCAAGTGCATAAATTATATCCATACACTCAAGCTTACATAACCTCACTGAACATGGGTATATTTATGGGGAGTGAGAAATACAAACTGAAAAACTTACCACAAAACACCTGGGAAAAAGAACCATACATATCTTAAAATAAAAAAATCACCAGCCGAACATAAGACACAAACTCCCCACGAATTAAAGCCTGTGCTTCCTCAGCAGACATTGGGAAACCTGAGACCGAGGCCTCGTGTTATAACCACTGTCTACTTATGGCAGGGAAATTATCAACTGCCATAAGAAACCTGAATTAATATAAACAAAGTAAAATTTGGGAAACAGAAACATCTCAAAAACAAACTAGTACAAACTTGAACATGAGACTGATATTAATTGTGCAGTCACATGAAGAACGTAAAACACATCTATACACGAGAATTGCCAATCAAAAAAGTGATGATTGTGCTGCAAGGGTAGAGAGAGGTACCTGTGCTAGTATAGAGAGCGCAATTGGATTGGTGGATGTTGGTCACATGTTGCTGCAATGACGCAAAAAAACAAAGTGTAAAAGACTGGTGCACTTTTAAAAAGCTTAACAATGCCTAGAGGGCAATGAAGATCGAGATAGCTATGAGGGAGAGGAGGTAGTATCATTTTACAGAAAAAGAAAATATTCAATATAATTTATTGAAGTTTGTGAGAAATGTATCATGATTACATTTCTTGTAGTTATTTCACTTACTGCATAAACATTTAAATTATTTTCAATTATAACTCAAACCTATATATAAAAATGCATGTAACTCTATCTTCGAATCTAAAGACTATTAATTTTTTTTTCAAATACTGAACAATTATTTGATTTAGAATACAAAGTGAAAGTTAAATATAATAAAATGATAACACTTGAAATTTCAGTTTTGGCCATTGAGTTTACTGCAAGCGTACAAAATATTCATATAATATGTTAAAGAGAAAACCATCATATTCTTGCTAGTTACAACGGATAGTTTTTGAAATCTAAGTTTATTAATTACTATATTTTAGTTTGCTTTTACCAGGTATATAAATATCGTAGCTTGGAAGAACATATTTACCAAACAATTGTCACAAAATTCTGTGAAACTAATTGTAAGTTTTCTGAACATAAAATTTACACATGCAGAACATATAACAAACACAAGGAGTCATGTGGATATATCTGTATTATGTACTCTCTCAGTAGGGAATTGCAGTGGTATTTTCAATACACTTTATATTCTATACTATGAACAATACTTGCTTTTTATGGTAACTATGTTGTCATCTTACTGGAAGAGAAACTTATTGTTGTTTTAGTTTGAATTATTAAAAACTACTTTACTAGCAGTTGTTTTAATTGATAAAGTACTTGCTCATCTCTTAGGTCTCAGGTTCAATCCCACTCATGGGTATTGCAAAAATAAATCAGTACAGAAAAACTAGCACACAAATAGTGATCATCCTATAACACTGAGATAACTTAACATGATGGCTGGGTCTTGTTTTTGAAAGGAAGGAATGTTGTAAGTTGAATTGTTAATAACTACATGCCTTATTAAAGTGATAGCTAGTGGGTTAACCTTTCAGCTGAGTTTAGAGAGCATTCATTTGAGATGAAAGAGGTCTTGGGTGTAATTATGTTTATGGGAGATACAATTATATATTTTACCATGCTATACTAAAAAAAATAAACTTTTGTTTTATTTGTTTATATTTTGCTACATTTTCATTTATCACACTTAAATAATTATTAAATTTTTGCCTTCTAAGTTACACTAACTTATGAAATCAATGCTACATTGTAAACAAAATAGTGTAAGAAACAATTTAGAAACAAAAACTTTCAGTCAAACTGTAAATTTTCACTAATATTAAAAATTGTATCAAAAATTATCACAACACGCATCAATATAAGAGAAAAAAAAGAGCTAACAGTTTGAAGAGAAGTAGTATTACCAAATTTTGCTGATTTAATATTGACTTTTGTTTTGCAATTGTTAGACTCTCACAAATCCACAACTGTTTCACATCTTCAGCTCAACAAACTATCTCAGTCAACAATTCTAATAAAGAACTAAAGAGTAAAATCATGGCAATGAAACCCAGCAAAATTATTTCATAGGATTATTTTGGTTTCCTTTAAGATTGTAAGCTTTATGTACGAGTAAAACTAGTCACTAGACAAAGGATTTTGTATAAGTGTAGTGCAATTTTATACTTAGAAGTAAAAAGTGTCAAGTCAAACAATTTTAAACAATTTTCAGAACTTATTTGTTTTGAATAATCAATTACTACATAATGATCAGAAAAAAAATTAACATCTCATTTTCAGAAATTCTCTTTAACCTGAAATTGAACATTTTAATACTCACAACTGAAGATAATAAATCATTTTTTTAGCAAAAATACAAATTGACAGAGTAGTATGTGCATTGGTGAGGAAACACATTAAGCATGTTAAAAATAATAGATTGTACATCAAACTCCACCATACACATATCATATTTTTGTTTTTCCAATTATGAAAGCAACAAGCCTGTGATGTGCTAATTGATAAAACAAGGCAGAATGAAAATCTTGTAATTTTCAAGCACTGACAAAGGTGACAGCTGCATACAATTAGACTACGCATTACATGTTTTATGAAAGCTTTCTTCCAATATCACTGCTACTCATAAATAACTAGTCAAGAAACAAAAAATAATGACTTAATATACACGACCTGAAAGGTTTCACCTTATCAAATCATGATTTACAATTTACCTGGAATTCCTGGTTGTCCTGGCAGGCCTGGTCTTCCAGGATAACCACTGCGTCCTGAAACAAAAATAAACAGCTAATTTGGTACAGTATGTTAAATTAAAATAGAACAATTAAAATTATTCTAAATGAAAATTCTTTACTGGCTTCAGAATCAACATATACTATTATGATCAACAATGAAAATATTCTCATTAATTTCATAAAGAAAATGAATATTATTATATAGATATAAACTAGATTTCATCGGTCCTTGTGTGATTTCATAACCAGTAAACGTACTTTGATTTTAAATGAATTAAATGTATAAATAGATGGGCTGTGAGTAAAGATATTGAGGTATTTAAAAAAATTGGCGATTTCTTTATTTTTTTACTTTTGTTTTATGCAAAGATACAAAATGGGATATCTAAGCTCTGTTCAGTGCAGGAACATGAACTCCAGACAATCAGAACTGTAAGATTCATAAACTTACAGCTGACCCACTGGAAAACTTCATTTTTGCATTTCATGTAATATATTGAAAACTTTATATCCTAGTTGGAAGAAGTATTAGTCAAAAACCAAAAACAGAAAAAAATAAATGCATTGTTATGAACTGCTCTTTTGGTTTTAAAACAAAAATATATACAAAAACTCTTAACAGCCATTGGTTTAAAATCATATTATCATACCTATATGAAATAAGCCATATACATTATGCCTTTATATTATACATCTTTATTGAATCACGTACCTTTTATTCCAGCAAAACCATATGGACCAGGAAGTCCACTCTGGCCTCTATCTCCATTTATTCCTTTATCCCCTTTACGTCCAGGAAATCCATCATCTCCACATACTCCAGGATAGCCAGGTAGTCCTGTATCACCCTGTGTTCCTTTGTAACCTCTTGCACCTTAACGTAAAGTTTATTTATATGAGGATTAAGAAGCATTATTATTGATGCACACTTTTAAGCCTTTAAAACATAACATAATGTTTAGGAACAACAAGGGACCTTTTGGTATATCTAGACTGTCCCATACTCTAAACTAAACTATTAAATATGATAAAATAAATAAAATCTCAAAGCAAGCCCTTATCATTCACATAGTTATCAAGATTTCTCTTAAACTCACTTAAATTTACTGCCTCCACAACATCTGAAGGCAAAGACCAATCACCTTGTAAGAAAAAGAAAACTGTCTTAGCTGAAGATGGCTCCTACCCTGCCAAAATGTATATGCATCTCCTAGTCCTACCATTTTCACCATTAAGTATATAAAAAAAAAAAAATGATGCATCAACACAATTAATTCCCTTAACAATTTTAAACACCTCAATCAAATCCCCTCTCTAATTCTTCTTTTTTCAAGAGAAAACAATTTCAGAGATTTTAACCTCTCCTCCATCCTAGTAGCCCTCTTTTGAACCCTTTCCAACAATTCAATGTCCTTTCTATAGTTAGGAGCTCAAGACTGAACACAATACTCCAGTGTCCTATTATAACCTCTTTAGACTTGTATTCAATATTTCTGTAGATACAATCTAAAATCCCATTTGCCCTACTACTAACAATAGAACACTGCTTGGATGGTTTGAGAGACTGATCAACCACTACACCAAGTTCCCTTTCTTTCATAGCACTGTTAAGGTTATTTCCATCCAAATTATACTTATAATTCAAATTA